GTGGCTACGTGGAGAAATGTTAGTAAAGTGAACTCTCAGTGATGGAGAGCTGTCATGTCAACCCGGTGGAGGCCATAGGAGGCATTGTAACTTTCCTCCCAGCATTAGCCTGTTCATCATTTCATTTCTCCTCAGACCTCCTAGTAACAAACTTAAATGCATTGAGAATTTTACCCTGAATCTGGTGGATACTCTTGTCTCAGCCTCCCTCATTTATTTCCTCTTACTAACATTTTTATATCCTGTGCCCCCTGAAGATTGCAGAACTCTCACACAAATCATGTGAAAATGGAAGTATCAATGCAGTCACTGACCTGTGAAACAACAGATTCTCTTCCCACAGGTAGTTCTCTTTTTTTAAAATATATATTTTTATTGTTGACAGTATTATAGATGTCCTCATCCCCCCCCTTTATCTCCCTCTGTGCATCCCCTAAACCCTCCCAGGCCTTCACCACCCTATTGTCTATGTCCCTGTGCTATGCACATATGCATGTAAGTTCTATGGTTAATCTCTTCCCTCCCCCCTCCCTCTTCCCTCTGAGATCCCTCAGTCTGTTCCATGCATCTATGCCTCTGGTTTTATTTTGTTCGTCGGTTTATTTTGTTCATTAGATTCCACATGAGTGGGATCACTTGGTACTTGTCTTCCTCTGCCTGGCTTATTTCACTCAGCACAATGCTCTCCAGGCCCATCCATGCTGTCCCAAAGGATAAGAGGTCCTTCTTCTTACAGCTGCGTAGTGTTCCCTGGTGTGACTGTCCCACAGCTTTCTATCCATCATCTCCTGACGGGCCCTGGGGCTGCTTCCAGATCTTGGCTGTTGTAAACTGCGCCGCTGTGACTATAGGGGTGTGTATGTTCTTTCTGATTGGTGTTTCAGGCTTCTTAGGATATGTTCCCAGAAGTGGGATCACTGGGTCAAATGGCAGCTCCATTTTTAATTGGCAGAACCTGTGTGCCTCACGCGTACGGCAGATGTCAGCCGACTCTGGGTGAGGTTGGGCTCAGTGGCAGAGGGTGGGTGTGGCGAGGTCCCTGCCCCAGGCTCACCTTCCTCAGGTCTGCAAAGGGAACAGGCCGTTCCTGGGAGATGGGGACCAGAACTAGATCCTCTCCCTCTGAGGTTCGGGGTTCCTAGCACAGCTCAGAAGTGGAAGAGCCCCAGCTGAGATCCACTGGCAGAGAGCAGAGCCTCAGAGGGAAAGCACACGGAGAGGGGAGCAGGAAGCATGGGCCTGGCCCAGCCTGCCTCTGGGAAGAGCTGCTTCTGGCAGTGTTGGTTGTGCCCTGGCCCCAGCAGCAAGGCCAGGGCCATTGGGCCACCTCCTCTACAAGGAAGGTTTCTAGCGCTGTGAGCCCCTGGGGCTCCCGGTCTGTCCTGGGAGGGCTCACCCGGGGCCCTGTGCCGCTGCTTCCACTCCAGGCAGCCATGGGACCACAGGGTCTGTTTCCTATGAGCCTCTCAAGAACACACCTGTCTGTAGCACTAAGGGATGAATGGACAGGAGGCTGTAGGACCCTCGGGGACAGGGACTCTCATCCGACCCACTTGCGAGGGGATCAGGCATGTTCTTAGCTGTCCCAGCATCACCCCCATGAGGTCACTGCACGAGTGACTGAAGGAACCACAATGGACCAGCGGGAGCCTGAGCCCCTGGAGGACACCACACTGACACCAAGTCTCCTGGGGAACTGTCTTTAATGAGGACAATGCCAGCTGGGCCTGTCTTTGCCAGCCTATCCCAAAAGGGTAGGCTCTAAAGCCAAGGACAGTCTCTTGCCAGCTGTGACCATGCACCAGGTTCCTGGTGCCATCCCTGCCATTGGTCACAAGACCCCAGCTGAGCCTGAGCCCCACTCGCACCATCTTCCCCTCCAGCTCTTGCTGGTCTCAGCCCGCTGGACACTGGGCTGGCTCACACTGCGGGAGCCAGGGCACAGCCTTCAGGAATGTCCCACCACCCAGGGCCCGATGGCAGCCCTGAGCAGGTCACAGGCAGGACCAGGGTCAGCTGCACCCAGCGCTGGGGTCCCATTTCCTCAGAGGGGCCTCCCAGGCCGTTTTGCGGCTGGTTGGCGCCCGGCCCGGGCCCAGCCACATCACACGTAGTCCAGGATCTCCGTCTCCATCTCATTCTCGCTCCCGTCCGACGGCTTGAAGTCTTCGTCTTCCCCAGACTCGTAGGCCAGCTGGTCCTTCCCGCTGTCTCCACCGCCGTCTCCATCAGCCTTGGCCGGGCTGGGGAAGAGAGCTGGAGGCGGGAGACAGGCCAAGTGCTCCAAAGCAGGCTCCTGGCAGCCCCAACTCCAGAACAGGTTCCTGCGCTCCAGGGCCCTCAGGACGACGGTGCCTGGGCTTCGGCAGGCGCGCTGTGGAGTGTGGGTGCCAGGGACCTGGGCTCGGGCACATCCAGGAAACATGGAGGCTGCCAGCTTTGCACACCACTTCCCCGAGGTGCCTCAGGCAGCCTCATGGGCCCAGTGCTCCCCAGAAATGTGCATGATATTTTGTGGGTGCGTTTTTTTGGGGAAAGGGCCCACAGCCTTGATTAAATTGTTGAGGGAGCTGTGCCCCAAACAAGGCTAAGAACCTCTGCTCCCATCAGCTCCCTGGGCGGGGATAGCGCAGGCTCTGGGACACCGCCTACCCAAGCCTTGGAGAATCCCTCTGCGAGGGGCCCTCTTGCTTACTTCCCACCCCCAGCCTCATCAGACCCACAGCCCAGCAAGTACTCACTCCCCTCCCTCAGAGGCCCAGCTACCAGGGCTCCCCGCCACCCCCCCACATGGGCAGGCCACGCAGGGTGACAGGACCCAGCTCCTACTGCCCCTGCTCTCCCAGGGGAGGACAGACAGACTGCAAGCACATGCAGCGGGAACATGTTAGATGAGCCCACCTCCTTGCAGCTTCTCAAGAATGGGTCCACGAAGGACACCTGCTGTCCCCAGAGTAGGGCCAAGGCACCTGCCCCCTCCACCCAAGCGGCTCTCACCAGGCCTCTTGGAGCGGATGGTCTGCCGGATCATGGTGGACATGGCGTTCCTCAGGTCGTCGCTGGTCTTGGGGAGGCACCACCCGTCCCGCTCAGTGCAGGTCTCCTCGGCCCCGTCGTTGCGGTGAATGATCTTCTGCAACCTATAGGGGTTGGGACACCGAGTTCCAGGGTGGCTTCCTGCTAACAGGGCCGGTAAGCAGTGTGGCAGAGGGCACTGTGCTTAGAGAAACAGCACTTAGAGCGACATGGGAGGGACGGCGCCGGCACCGAGGACACCCAGGAACACCGGTGAGCTTCCCAGCCCCTCAAGCTGCACAGGGAGGTACACACCCCTTTTCCTGGCGAGTCACAGCTCTCACCAGCCTTTAAGCTGCATTTAACGTGCCCCCAGCTTTCCCACCCCAGTACCCCTCTCCCAATTTTTAAACATCTCTAAGAACAACCAGATTAAAGGTTTCTGGGATTCTGGTCAGTTCTGAAGGGTTAGGACTGTGTCATGAGCCCGCACGTGGGCAATGGAGAAGCAGACTCCACAGGCAACATGTCTGCAGCCAGGCCAGCGCTGTGCCCGGGACACCGAACAGCCAGCTGCTCAGAGGTGTGGCCCACAGTGACCCTGGGAGCCGCTCCTGAGCCTAGATGGAGGACTCACCAGGCAGCACTAAATCCTAGGCAGGCAAGCCTTCTCACTGAGAGCAAGGCTGACAGAAATGGAGGCCGTGCAGGGAGCTCTGTGGTCCCCAGGCAGTTTCTCAGCCCTGACACCCGTCACATGGCCCCATGGCAGGCCCCCTCAGGTACATACTCTTCCACGTTCAAGTCGCACAACTGGTAGAACATCTGTCGGTACGGTGGCAAGGCGCCCTCCTGGAAGATGTAAACTGAGTCCTGGGGAAAGAGGGAAGACACAGGGCATGTTGGGGAGCTTTGCCCTGGGGGAGGGTGGTGCCAGAGACCCCTACCCTGGGGCCATGGGGCCTCTCCAAGGAGTCAGCTAGTCCCTGGGCCTGGCAGGCCTGCCTTTCCTTCCTGGATCCAGGTGCTGCGGACAGGCCCAAAGCCGGGGGATGTGGAGAAAACCAGCCCCGACTCCCTGGGAGGGGCAGACCCTGGAACCGAGAGCCTCCTGCCCGGCAGGCCAGTGCAGTGGACGGGGTGTCCCACCGCCTGGGGCCGGGCCCTGCTGTGTGTGCTTCCTGCAGTCTGCCCTTCCCATTCCGTGCCAACTTCTGCTCATCGGTCACCTTGCGTAGCCCTGTACAGCGCCCTGACAAGATGCGGGGTAACCGAGTGTCTTGCTGTTTTCCCTACCCAGCCACGAAGTTCTCGTGTTGGGGTAATGGCCAAAAATGAGGCCTTGATGAGGGCGACGGCTGTCAGGTGATGGTGTGGCTGTCTCACTGAGAAGCCAGCCGCATCCCTCACAGCACCTGACTCCCACCCCTTTCAGTGGCACTCACACTCTTTGCCACCCCATGTGAGGCAGGACACTCCCAGGTGGGGGATGCAGGCTGCCCCAGACTGTGGAGCTGCTTGGAAAAGCCTTTGGGAATTGCCGCCACTGCTGAGTAACTGCTAATGACAGTGTGAGCCTGTGAGGATAGGACCCTGGGCACTCGTCCACGCAGCACCCTGGATCCTAAGGGTGTAGTGTGTGTGCCAGGCCTGCATGAGGCAGGTGCTCCCCTCCCCGCCACTCCTCTCTCAACCAGGAGGGCAGCTGCTCTCACCGGGGCTCCGGGGGCACCCACCTTGAGCTTGTACTTGTTGGAGGCCGATTTCCGCATACCAGCTGACCCTGATGGGCCCAGGCCCTGCTTCAGGTCACGCATGGTGGCAAGCTGGCTGGCTGTAGGGATGACAGCAGTGCTTCGGAATATAGGGGTGTTTCCCCCATGCTCCCTCCAATCCACCCCATCTCTCCCTGTGGAGCACTGGCCTGCACCACCCTGGATGTCCCCCTGGGGAGGCCCCCCCCCCCCC